AATTCCTTTATCTGCGTGACTGCCCCATCCCCCTCCTGGGCCGAGACATACTCTCCAAGCTTAGGGCTCAGATAACCTTTGAGCCCACCGGACACACTAGCCTCCGACTAAACCCAAGGCAAGAGGAGATGGGATTTCTAATACTAGCAATTACCATGCCAAGGGAAGAAGAATGGAGGCTTTTCTGTGCCCAGGCCTAACCAAGCAGCCCGCCAAAGTTCAGACTCACCTTCCCTTCGGTATAGGCTGAAAACAACCAACCTGGACTAGGCCGGAATCGGGCCCCTATCATTGTTGAACTGATCCCAGGAGCCCAACCTCAGAGGCAAAGGCAATACCCACTTCCACAGGAAGCTAAGATTGGCATCCAAGAACATCTGGCCAAACTCAAAGAAGCAGGTATTCTAGTCGAGCGCCAGTCAGCCTGGAATACCCCACTCCTGCCAGTCAAGAAGCCAGGAGGGGGATACCAACCAGCTCAAGACCTGTGGGCCATCAACAAAGGTGACCATCTCTCTGCCCCCAGTGATCCCAAATCCATACACCCTCCTCGGCCAAATCCCAGGGCCGGCCAGATGGTTCACTTGCCTAGATTTGAAAGATGCCTTCTTCTGCCTCCACTTAGCTCCCCAGAGCCAGCCACTATTTGCCTTTGAATGGACTGAACCTGATACAGGGCGCCAGATGCAACTGACCTGGACGCGCCACATGCAGGGGTTTAAACACTCACCAACCCTCTCTGGGGAAGCGCTGGCCGCAGGCCTCGCCAGCTTCCCAAGAGAGGCCACACAATGCACCCTCCTCCAGTATGTGGATGACCTCCTCCTCACCAATGACACACAAGAAGACTGCATAAAATGCACAAAGGTCCTCCTACAGCTCCTGTCAGACTCGGGATACTGAGCCTCATGGAAGAAGGCACAAATCTGCCAACAACAGGTACAATACCTTGGTTTCCTCCTCACCCAAAGGAAAAGAGAACTAGGGCCAGAGAGGAAAAGGTTCATCATCACCCTGCCACAGCCCCAGACAAAAAGGGGCCTACAAGAATTCCTGGGGGCTGCAGGATTCTGCCACATCTGGATCCCTGGATTCTCAGCAATAGCAAGACCTCTTTATGATCTCTTAGGGGGACCAGATCGCGAACCCCCTGCCTGGACTGAGGAAGCAGAAGCCGCTTTCACAGAGATAAAGACCGCCCTGAGGCGGGCTCCAGCCCTGGGCCTACCAGATGTAGAAAAACCCTTCAATCTCTTTGTGCATGAAAAGGAAAAAAATAGCGCTCGGGGTACTCACCCAGACTGTTGGGCCCTGGCAACAGCCAGTTGCTTACCTGTCAAAGAAGCGGACCCCGTGGCAGCGGGATGACCACCGTGCCTCAGGGCGCTGCCAGCCACAGTCATACTCGTCAAGGAGGCAGACAGACTTACCCTGAGGCAAGAACTTAATGTCAAGGTCCCTCATGCAGTTGTGTCCCTCATGAACGCACAGGGACACCGCTTCCTTTCCAACTCTCGGCTAGCACAATACCAAGGGCTCCTCTGCGAAAACCCGCAGGTCACCCTCAAAAGAGTAAGGACATAAAATCCAACAACCTTTCTCGCTGCACCCGGGACATTAGGTTTCTCCCCATTCGAATTAATATATGGACGGCCTCCCCCGTGCTTGGGAAGTCTTCCAGGAAACTTACATCAGGTTGGAGATAAAGGGATAAAGGAGCAGCTTCAGGCCCTGGGGGCCACCCTAAATAAATTACAAAAGTACACCATCGAGGGCGCCTGGGTGGCTCAATTGGTTAAGCAACTGCCTTCGACTCAGGTCATGATCCCAGAGTCCTGGGATCGAGTCCCATATCGGGCTCCCTGCTCGGCAGGGAGTCTGCTTCTCCCTCTCACCTTACCCCCTCTTGTGCTTTCTCTCTCTCTGTCTCAAATAAATAAAATAAAATCTTAAAAAAAAAAAAAAGTACACCATCGAGAGGGCACCAATCTCCTTAGGGTCTCAGGTACACTCCTTCCAGACAGGGGACTCAGTTTGGGTCACAGATTGGAAGAAAGACCCCCGCAAACCGTAGTGGTCAGGGCCCCACACTGTTGTTCTAACTGCCCCTACTGCCCTCAAGGCCTCAGGTGTCACCCCGTGGGTCCACCACTCCAGAGTGAAGAAAGCTCATCATTCGGACGAGGAGCCACACCAGTGGAGAGTCCAGCCAGACCTCACGAACCCGCTCCGGCTTCACCTTCGATGAGACCCCACCGACTGATGGACACCTGCTCACCGTGGTCCTGGCTCATCGGCGTGATTTCCCTCATCTTGGGAGTCAGACTCTACACTGTTGCCCCTCCTGACTGGACTTCCCCCCAGAAGCTTACTATTGTCATTGCTTATTGGGTGTCCCTAGAGTGTATTACTGCACTTACTTGTCCACGGGTTTCATCTGCTATCGGGTTAGCCATGATGGCTCCCTCTACCTAAGGGCGTAGACCCCACTTTCACTGGCCCTCTGCTGTCTACTCCTGAGCACATGTCATCATGGTGTTCCTGGCCCCAGTCAGTCCTGGTCTTCTGCTGCCTGGTGTGCTGTTCCTCCGCACTGCCTCTAGCTTGCCCAGCCAAGCAAGGGGGGCAAAGGGCAAACTCTCCTATCACCACTACTGGCAAATGGACTTCCCAGCTTATCCCCCTCAATCCCGCACCGGCACCCCCACTGACTTCTTTCACCTGGGATGCACACACACCGAAGGTTGACCTCCACTTTGATGGATGCCAACTTCTTGATATTTCCTGGGAACCTCATAGATGATGCTCCTACCATGGCCCTCACTCAGGTTACCAGCTGGTAGATATCTACATCTGTGGGGGCCCTACATCTCAAGAGCCAAACACCTGCCCCCAGCTCTGCTCACGAGTCCTGGCTAGCAACTTGGCCGGGAATAGAACAATGGACCAACGGGTGGTGGTGCCTCAAACAGCGCAGTGACATCTGGATTTCCTTGTCACGCAGCACCACCCCATCCTCTTGCCCTAACAATCACTGTATACTGCTCACTCTCTCAGTCCTAAAACCCAATGACACATCATGGGCCACAGGAATCACTCCTGTTGAGCCAATATCACTCTACAGGGACTAACCCCATGGCCAAGTTTATGATTAAGTCCGTGTTCATCCTAAGCCCTGCAGTCAACCCTCAGAGTCAGACAGAAAATAACTTGCCCTGGCACATCCCTGGGTCCCCCATCCACACGCAGCAAGCATCTATAGCACAACTGTTAGGTGTGATTAACGCCTCCCACCAAGCGCTTAACCACTCAAATCCACCCCTAGCGTCTGACTGCTGGATCTGTATGAAGCCCGGTCCTGTCCAATACCTAGGTGTCATCCTCAACCAATCCACTGTGTCACCTCCCACCTCGGCACCGGGGACCTCAGATTATCCCTTTCTGGCTCCGGTACTGCTGTATGGCAACTCTTCCTCTCCCATCACGGGCCACAGTTGGGTCTGTGCGCCTAACAACACTTTTCTGGCTTGTGATCAAGGTGTATACATCTGCATCACCTGGCGCGATCAGTCATGCACGCTTGTCGAGTCTCTTACCCGATCTTTCAATCCTCCCTGGGAGCGATGCCCCACTCACATGGAGACCTCCTAGCCACCTTCCACGCTCCCCCGTGGCCATCCCTCTTATCATGAGCCTGCTGGCCACATCAGGTGTTGCCCTCAGCACCACTGGCGTCAGGATCTCAGGTTCAGTACCAGGGGTTAACTCAACAACTCACAGCAGATTTTTCTGCCCTCACTCAGTCGGTCCTGGCTCTGCAGCGCACCAACTCAATTCATTGGCCTCAGTGGTCCTCCAAAACAGGTGCAGGCTCGACTTGCTCACGGCCACACAAGGGGGCTCTGCCTCTTCTTACAGGAGGAATGTTGTTTTTATGCTAATGAGTCGGGGGTGGTCCAAGAAACTCTGACCCAATTACAGGAACGAGTACATCGCCGGTGGGAAACACTCCAGCAGACAAATTGGTGGGATACCCTGTCACAATGGTTCCCTTGGTTCGCCCCCCTCGTCGGCCCCCTCCTATTGCTTCTCCTCATAGTAGCATTTGGTCCTTGTATTCTTAATGCCCTTACTAGGTTTATCACTACTCAAATTGCTAAAATCAGACTCCAGTTGCTCCTTACTCACTATCGCCCCTTAGAAGATGAAAATAATGCCCTGTAAACTAGGTGTTTAAAGGGGCATCAAGGGGAGAATGATAAGGAAAAGCTGGGTCCTAAGATGGCCAACCGAGCCAGTGAGGAAGTCCCAGCCTCTGCCCCGGGCCTCTTCCGGGTCCTTCTCCCTGCCCCGCTTTGTGCACTCGCGAAAAGTGCCCAAGTATGCAGAAGTAGAAGTGTATAAATTACCCCCTTTTTCTGTGCTTGGGGCTCAGACCTTTGGAGACCACTTTCCTCTGAGCCCACTGGCATTAAATAAACCTCCTATCCTCCAAGATCTCCAAGTGCAGCTTGGTTCTTCCGTCTGGTGATCCAGTCCAGGTTCCGTAACAATCCCAGGGTCCTGGGATCGAGCCCCGCGCATTGGGCTCCCTGCTCAGCGGGAAACCTGCTTCTCCCTCTCCCACTCCCCCTGCTTGTGTTCCTGCTCTCGCTGTGTCTCTCTCTGTCAAATAAATAAAATCTTTAAAAAAAAAAAAAGAAATGGGAATAAGCAAAAATAAGAGGAGGAGAAAATACTTGAGGAGAAAAGAAAAAGCAGTTCTCTAAGAGCAGGGGGAAGTACACACACTGACTTTTGTGGACGAGTTAACAAAGGAGGACAAATTGCAGCACATGGTCCCACATCCCATTCCCACTGCTGTGGTGTGTCCTGCCTGCTCCCCCGGGTGCACGAAGCTTCGGCCTCCCTTAGTGCACCCGGCGAATCCTTACAATCGGCAGCCCCAACCACTGACTTCTCCCTGCAGCCCCGACTAAAGGAAGAGGCCGGCGGCTTACCTTTGGGTGTCACCAGGGGCATTACTTGAAGTGTTTAAACTCATGGTAAATCCCTTCCACCTCTTTGAAAACAGCCCACTGTTTCTGAATGGTGTACTTCGTTATTGAGGATTACACGTGTCCCAGATGTCTGTGGCTTACAGGTTAGATGGGCTGAAGCCTGTTAAAATAGTAAACAATATAACAGTGGTTATATATATGAGTCCTGAGACTATGAGTGATTTTTGTCTTTTTCTTCAACTTACTTGTATTTTTTTTTTATTTTATTTATTTATTTGAGAGAGCATGAGCAAGGAGGAGAGGGAGAAACACACTCCCCACTGAGCAGGGAACCGGACACTGGGCTCGATCCCAGGACCCTGGGATCATGACCTGAGCGCAAGGCAGACGCTTAACTGACTGAGCCACCCAGGCACCCCTTACTTGTATTTTAAAATTTATGTTATAACAAACATGAAAACATTTAAAAACTATTGTTTCGTTTCTTTTTTTTTTTTAAGGTTTTATTTATTTGACAGAGAGAGAGTACACAAGCAGGGGGAGTGGCAGGCAAAAGGCTTCTAGGACTCCATGTATATGAAATGTACAGAATGAGCAAACACATAGAAATAGAAAGTGGGGGCGCCTGGGTGGCTCAGTCATTAAGCGGCTGCCTTCGGCTCAGGTCATGATCTCAGGGTCCTGGGATCGAGCCCCACATCAGGCTCCCTGCTCAGCGGGAAGCCTGCTTCTCCCTCTCCCACCCCACCCCCCCCCCCCCGCTTGTGTTCCCTCTCTCGCTGTGCCTCTCTCTGTCAAATAAATGAATAAAATCTTTAAAAAAAAAAAAAGAAAGAAAGAAAGTGGATTTGTGGTTGCCAGAGGGTAGGGAGAGGGGGAATTGGGTCTGACTGCTAATAAGTATGACGTTTCTTTTTGGGAGTGATGGAAATGTTCTGGAATTAGATAGCAGTGATTGCTCTGGACCACAGTGAATATACTAAAAACCAATGAATTGTACACTTTAAAACTGTAAATTTTGATAGGTGAGTTATATCTCAATTTTTCAAATTCATCATCCAAAAAAAAAAAAAATCCTATCTAAAGTCTCCTTTAGCAAAATCTTATTTTCTTCTTCTCTGTCTCTGTTATCAGCTCCTGAGGACACTAGGGTTCAAGAGCCTACCTCTGTGTGTTTTAGGAAGACTACATCAATGAAGAGCCAAAGTCAGATCTGTGGCTGAATTTAAACTACGACTGGAGATCTATCCTAGCGAACATGGCAGAGACGATGTAGCAAAAGCTCTCTTTTCATACACCAGACTGATATAGGGAGCTAGGTCAAAGAATTATAGGTTCCTCACATAACGTGTGTTCCAAGCTTTACTTGAAACTTCCCAAGAAACTCCACAAGAGTGGGCGCCTGGGTGGCTCAGTCGGTTAAGCGTCTGCCTTCAGCTCAGGTCATGATCCCCGGGTCCTGGGATCGAGTCCCGCATCGGGCTCCCTGCTCAGTGGGGAGTCTGCTTCTCCCTCTGCCTGCCCCTCCCCCTGCTTGTGCTCTCTGTGTGTCAAATAAATAAATAAAATCTTAAAGAAAAAAGAAAGAAAGAAAAAGAAACTCCGCAAGAGTTTAGCTAATCTGTATGAGTAATTACAAATTCCTTATGAGACGCAATCAACATCAGCCTTTCTCCAACATGTATCTAACTCTGTAAATAACGCTTTCCATTTGAAAACATTCAATACATCATTATCTATAAACAAAATATCCAATACCTCAAAGCCACCCCTACTGTCATCATGCCAACTGTGACAAACATCCCTTCTCCACTGTGCTAAGAACTTTCTCTATCTCTACATTGTCACTCTACACCAACCCCAAGGGCAAGATACTGTTAATGTCCCCACTTTATACCTAAGGAAACTGGGGCTTAAAGATATTCATTCAATCACCTGTCCAAAGTCTCATCTCTAGTAAGTGACAGAGTCTGGATTCAAGCCCAAATTAGCGGACTCCACAGTTCTGCTGTGTGTCTTGCTATTGGCCTTCAAGATATGGTTCACCCCCAGCCAGAGAGCATTGAGACCTTGTGAGACCTTGCTTATCAGAAAAGCACTTCTCCCAACTGCAGAGTTTTCAAACACAGCTCCTTCTTCCCCACACCCCCACCCCATCCAAACTAACTACAAGGCAGGGTCTTCTTAATGAAAGATAACTCGGACCTCCAGTGGATTCTCAATCCAGATGGCACTTCCACAGGCTTGGGTCCAAACCAGGCCACCCTGTAGCAGTGATGGATAAAGGCAAAGTTTAGGTCAGCTTTTTATGTTAATCTATTAATAGATTAATCTTCGCTTGGTAGTGGAGTTGGACTATTCTCATCATTCCTACTAAAATAGATGAAGGGATGTTATATGTATCATTCTTCAATAAGGAGTTTTTTAGACATAGGGCCAAATATAGGTAATTGAGGCCAAGGGAGCAATGATCTAGACATCCTAAGAGTAAGTACCAGCCAGAAAGACAATTCTACTTTAGATTTCAGAGCCACTGCTGGTACAAAGTTTCCTACCTCACAGCTGAGTCCTTCAGTGGGTCATGCAGAATGTATTCATCTCTCAGTGTGTCTGTACAGATCAGGGGGAAAGGGAGGGGTGAGGGCAGGGGTGGGGATGAAAAGATAAAAACCACTATTATTGAGCACTTACTATGTGCCAGATACTAGGCTAACCGTACCTGATCACATTGAATCCTCCCTATAGCCCTGTAAGATGATTATACATATTTCACAGACAAGAACACTGATGCTTGGAGAGGATGAGTAACTTGTATAAAGCCATTCAGTGGGAGGGACCCCCTGGTAGCTCAGCTGGTTAAGGGATACTTTTGGTTTCAGCTCAGGTCATGGTCTCAGGGCCTTGAGATCAAGCCCCAATTTGGGACTCAGCACTCAGCCCGTCTGCTTGAGATTTTCCCCCTCCCCCTCTGCTCCCCCCACCTCTAAAATAAATAAATAAAATCTTTAAAAAAAAAAGATATTCAGTGGGAGGGTTAGAATTCAAACTCACATCTGGCTGACTTCTAAATCCATCCTCTTTCATAACACATGCTAACTTCAATAATAACTACATCTGTGTTGGGGGGCTCTGACTGCAGACTTATATATTTCACCTTTAAAGAGGATGTCTGGTTCTTTCATCAAAATAAGACCATGATGGGGCACCTGGGCGGCTCAGACATTTAGGTGTCTGCCTTCGGCTCGGGTCATGATCCCTGGGTCCTGGGATTGAGCCCCACATCGGGCTCCTTGCTCTGTGAAGGTTCTGCTTCTCTTTCTCTCTCCCTCTGCCCTCCCCACTGCTCGTTCTCTCTCAAATAAATAAAATCTTAAAAAAAATTAAAACCATGACAAGTGGGCTGAGACAAAGAATTTTAGAATTAAATAGGACTTTAAAGACCAAGTCCTGGGGCGCCTGGGTGGTTCAGTCATTAAGCATCTGCCTTCAGCTCAAGTCATGATCCCAGGGTCCTGGGATCAAGCCCCACATCGGGCTCCCTGCTCCTCGGGAAGCCTGCTTCTCCCTCTCCCACTCCTCCTGCTTGTGTTCCCTCTCTCACTATCTCTCTCTCTGTCAAATAAATAAATAAACTCTTTAAAAAATAAAATAAAGACCAAGTCCATCCTCCTTATCTGACAGATAAGGAATGTAATGTCTAGTGAGCTTAGGTGATTTGCTTGTGGTCACTCAGCTAATAAAACTTCAAGCTCCAGACTAAAACTACTCCCATCTTTCCTTTTAGCAGGTTGCACTGTCTTTGTTTTTTCTTCATTTCATGGGAAACCATTGTTAGTTTCTGCTCTACCATTGTTTTGTTGTTACCGGGCACTAACTGTTCAATAAAACAGGTAGGGTCTTCTCTCCAAAATTATGTGAACTATACAAAACATCCATGCGTTTTGTATTTGAAAGAGTTGGACACCAACTGAAATTGCTTCTCAAACTTATACAGAATCATTAGAGATCTCCTTAAAACGAAAAAATATGCATTTGCCTAGGATAAATATCATGAGGGAGTAAAGAACAGTCAAAAGGAGGCTCTACTTCTGCAGAAAATTTACAGCCTTGGAAAAACAGCCAGATTTTCTGTCTCTTAATAGTCCTGGAGGGTGAGCAGTAGAAACTACAGATGATAGCCTACCACAACTCATTCTTTCATTTATCAAACATTGATAAGAATGTCTATGGGGCGCCTGGGTGGCTCAGTCGTTAAGCCTCTGCCTTCGGCTCAGGTCATGATCTCAGGGTCTTGGGATCAAGCCCCGCATCAGGCTCCCTGCTCAGCGGGGAGTCTGCTTCTCCCTCCCCCACTCCCCCTGCTTGTGTTCCCTCTCTCGCTGTGTCTCTCTCTGTCAAATAAATAAATAAAATGTTTAAAAAAAAAAAATGTCTAGTGTGTGGCTGGCATTTTTTTAAAGGATGAAAAAGACGTGGTCCTTGTCCTCGAAGAGTTTAGTGATTCTTGGAAGGGAAAAGCCCGGCAGTCCGGAGTTGTAAACCTGGGAAGTTCCAAGTCCAGGCCCTCTGGGTCCTGCCCTCTGGTCCCTACTCAGTCCTCTGGGTGCTGCTGCAGCGGTCTCGGGTTAGGACGCCCCAAGGAGATCTTCCCCCAGATGGGCGGAGAGGCCCAGCCCAGGGAGCTGGAGGCGTGTCCCCACAAACGACACCAACAGCCCCAGGACAACCACGAACTAACTCGGGGCTCCCCATAACTCTCACTGCTGCCACCCATACCTTCCTCAACACCTCCCCGCCCAAGTCGTTCGCCTCGAAGCCCCCACATCCCGTGGTTACCTCAGGGGACTCCCGTGGTCCAGACCGCACACCCAAGACCCCAGGGGCAGCTCCAAATCTCAATGGTAGAAAGAGGCCTGGGCAGATCGCCGGGGTCAGAGCAAAAACTGTTGGAACCCGACGGACTCTAGGACCCGGGGAAGGGGGAACGAAGAGCAAAGGGGGACAGGAGGGGAAAAGCCCTGGGGAGACGCGGTTTACAACTGCCACTTCCGGAGACTAGGCTGCGCACACAGACCTTCACAGACTTTCGCAGGCGTCCCGGCCCCGCCCCGCCGGCCCCTTTCCCCCCGCCTCCCGCTGCCCGCCGCTCCAGGGTACGCACTCGGAGGATCCGGCGCTCCGATTGGAAGAGGAGGGCCCGCGAAGTTGGGCGGCCGTGCGGGAAGGCGAGCAGGCGCATGCGCCGTTGCTGAGGAGCGGCGCGCTCGTGAGCACGCGCGACCCCGCGGCGCGCGCGCCCCTCCCGCACGAGAACGCCCCGGCCCACGCTCCAATGTGGTGTTCTCAGCGTGAGGCCTCCCGGTCGCGCTCTCAGAATCCCCGGAGCCGCCGGACGATGCCGATTTCTAAACCCTAACCCCTTTTCCGCGCCTGCTGAACAAAACTCTTAAGAGGCTGGATCCCCGACTGTGCATTAAACTGCCGATCCTAAGGCCAGTGTAGCCCCCTCGGGGCCTGTGGACTGGTGCCAGAGCCACGGGTAAATTCTGTGGGCTCGACTTCTGCGCGAGTGGCTGTTTCCCGCTGTGAAGCCCGCTCTCGCCTGCAGGACGCTTGTCCCCTCCTCCCATCCGCGTTGTATCCCAGCTTGGGGCTGTAAACGGTGCGGAGAAAGCGCGGGTCGGCGCGCTGGTACTGTTGCAGCGCGTCTCATGACTACTGCATAACGAGGTACCTCGCAAAGAAGTCCTTGGAGCCTCAGCATGGGCTCCATCTCGTTCCTAGCCTCCTCCAGGCCCCCGAGCGCACACACGCCTTCCTCTAGTTGGTAATTTATACTTTGGTTTCTTCCGGTAGCTGCTTCACAATCCGCTGCCGCCCCAGGGAGGTTGCAAAACCAAACGCTCTTTTTGTTCCTTGGCATTTGAAAATCTGTTCCCCAAAGAACAGTGCAAATTGGCGGGATATTGATGGAGGATTTTATCTTCACCACCTCCACCTCCTCCCTCCAAAAAGGTGTTTGATGAAAAATGAACCTTTTATGCTGCAATTGTCCCACGTTGATTGTAATCAACCTGAAACCAGGTGTAGGGGCCGTCTTTTCCCTGTCTCCCTGGGGAGAGCCAACGGTCATAAATGCAAATATAAACTGAGATTAAAACCTCCTTGATTCCTGTAACACTGAAACTTTAATTGGTTTGAGTTGTCACAGGTTAAAAAAGGAAGGCCATCCCGCTTCCTAATAATTTTGCCAGAAAGAGGATAGATAATTGCTTCAAAGGAAAGAGTTTATGGAAAGGAAAAAAGAGCCCATTCTAACATTTAGAAATGCAGTGGAAAATTACAGCAGACTAATGAGATTAGGTCTTTTTTTTTTTCTTTACAAGTTTTAAATACTTAGAAAATTTCTTACGTTTTAAAAAGTCACAAAACTGAATATGTATGGCAAGAATAAATGGCATATGTACTATACTGCACACTTTTTTAAATACAGAATAGGTGCCATATGAAGTCTTGCAAACTTCATCTATTTGTTCAAATAATATTTATTGAATACAGACTATATACCCAATCTGGAGCTAGGTGATAGAATTACAGGATATTTAATATAGGTACACTGGAAATCAGAAGAGGCAAATGTTAATAACAACCATGAGCACCCCCAAAGGCTTTAATGGAGAACTATGAACTTACTCTGGGAAGATGATTATAGAGTCACCAAGCTAAGAAGGAACTGGAAGACATGAAACCTACGCACACCAGCACAGGAAACATCATGAGGCGCTGGGAAAACTGGAAGGTCTGTGTGCAGTCTTGGGAGTGGGAAAGCGTGGAGAGTAAGATAGCAGGCTGGAGATATAGGCAGACCCCAGATCACAGGGACCTTCTAGGTCATAGAGTAGTCCTCCCGTTATGCATGGTTTCTCATTCCATTGCTTCCATTACCTGCAGTCAACCAAGGTCAGAAAGCAGATCATCCTCCCTCTGACATAGTCAGAAGATCAATAGTGGCCTAACTGCATCATAATGCCTATGTCATTCACCTCACTTCATGTAATCATGTTCGCGTTTTACTGACCAAAGAGTACAGTACAATAAATATTTTTTGAGAGAGGTACCACATTCACATAACTTTTATTACAATATATTATAATTTTCTGTTGTATTGTTATTGTTGTTAATCTCTTACTACGCCTAATTTATAAATGTCACTTTATCATAGGTGTCTATGCATAGGAAAAAAGATCATGTGTATAGGATTTGGTACTATCCCCAGGCTCAGGCATCACTAGGGGTCTTGGAACATATCCCCCACAGGCAAGCGAGGACTACTGTACTTAGTTTACCAAGCAACGAAGCTAACGACGTGTGTAGAGCAGAGAAGTTATAATAATTACACAATAAATCAAATTACACAATAAATCAAATCTAAAATATTTGGAGGTTTTCTGTTCTTCTAATAGTTACAAGATTCATTCTCTGCTGTTTGTTTGCCTAAAATGCTGCTACCTACAAAAAGCTGCACATAAAGACGTTCTCTTCTTCACTTCCCTTTTAGCCTTAAAAGTCACAATACTCACCTCATTCTTTTTACTTTCAGCATATTTTTCAATTCATCCCCTGCAGTCCACCAAAACAGCTTCCAAAATCAATAATGATCTCATTACTAAATCCCACTCCCCTTGAATTCACTGACACTTTGATCCTCCTCAGATTTCTCGGCAGCATAGGTAAGACTCTTGGTTTCTCCAACTCGCTGACCTTTTTATTGCTTGCTGCTCAGGAACTGTTACCCCTTCTTGCCCCTCAACGTAATATTTTCTCAGTTTCTGTCCTCAACTTTCACATGTTACCACATAAACTTTCTAGGCGATGTCATCCATCCCTGGGTCCACATGACATCATAATATCATAAACTCTGCTGTGGTTGTGAATTTTTAACTCTCATTTGAACAGTAGCACTTTAATGTGTGGTAATACTGAATTCAACATATCTAAACATTATCTTTCTTAACTTCTTAACGGGAGTCCCCCAACTGCTCCTCCACCAATTTATAAAACTAATCTCAGACACCCAGATGAAAAAAAAAACTCAGAGAATCTTTCTTCCCTCTCAAGCTCTCAATTCCTTTTTTTTTTTTTTAAGATTTTATTTATTTATTTGAGAGAGAGAATGAGATAGAGAGAGAGCATGAGAGGGGGAAGGGTCGGAGGGAGAAGCAGACTCCCTGCTGAGCAGGGAGCCCAATGCGGGATTCGATCCCGGGACTCCAGGATCATGACCCGAGCCAAAGGCAGTCGCTTAACCAACTGAGCCACCCAGGCACCCTCAAGCTCTCAATTCCTACATCTAAGAATCACTAAGTCCTACTTACTTTTTTCAACTCTCCTGTCCTGTTACTATACCTACTACTAAACATCTTGATTTGTTTCTTTACTGCTTTGTATCCTGACACTTGTGATCAGAACCTGCTCCGTGGCCGATGCAAGTCACTCTCTTCCCCTTTCTGTGCAAATTCTCAACATTTTTATAAGTTGACAACTAAACATCTAGGGCATTGTTAAGCTGGCAAATATGAACGGAAAAGATCAAAAATAGAAAATAAAAATCAAAAGCAGGCCTCCTAAGGGCACATGTGTACCTTTCTGACACTAGGGGAGTGTTATGAGCTGATTTTATGCATGTGAGCCTCAGGGTTTTTTGTTGCTGTTGTTTTGTTTTGTTTTTTTAAAGATTTTAGTTATTTATTTGACAGAGACAGAGACAGCGAGAGCAGGAACACAAGCAGGGGGAGCGGGAGAGGGAGAAGCAGGCTTCCCGCCGAGCAGGGAGCCCGATGCGGGACTCGATCCCAGGACCCTGGAACCATGACCGAGCCTCAGGGTTTTTTAATCGCCAGATGAGCCATGTCCTTTTGACCCTTCAGTAACCTCCCTCAGAAGGTCCAAACACCAGGTGCTTGATTATTATGCTGCTTTGGTATCAATTCTTATTACTGCAAGGCCTTGCCGTAATTGCTGCTCTCAGAGGCTCTGGTCCTTTGCTGCTTCAGTCCCCCTTCTGTGTGCTATGATGGATGATCCTTCCAAAGCATTGTCGACCTTAAAAATTAAACAACAAAGGTTATCAAGCAGCAAACGAATTTATTCAGAAATAGCAGAGGAATTGCAATTTGGGACATGCCAGCTATGGTGAACCATAGGCAAGTCCAGAGAACAAAAGGAGAGGAAAGGAGAATTTTGGAAGGAGTTGTTTTGAACAAAAGTCCACTGGAGGAAAATGAGAGTTTTGTATACATATATATGTAATTTTCACATAATAACTCAGAGTAACTCAGATTATGTTACCCTATCAATCAATTCTTTTAATGGCTCTTCAGTCCCTACTGCATAAAACCCAGACTTAACCCCCTCCCCTCTCCCCCATGAATCAAGTGCCCCTAGTCTTGTCTGTACCTGCCTTTCCAGCTTGTCTTTTCCTTTTTTTTTTTTTTTTTTCTTAGAGAGAGTGAGAGCGTGATTCTGGGGATTGGAGGGGGGCGTGGGGATGGTGGAGCACAGAGGGAGGGGGAGAATCTTAAACAGTCTCCATGACCAGGACAGAGCCCAACTCAGGGCTCTATCTCACAAACCTGAGATCATGACCTGAGCTGAAATCAAGAGTCAGATGCTTAACTGACTGAGTTACCCAGATGCCCCAAAGATACATTTTTAATAGCTGCATTGTAATCTATTTTGTGAATGCCTGTAATTTACTTATCTGGTCATCTAGGTCGTTTCTGACTTGTTCCTTTTCTTAAAAAAAAAAAAAAAACCTGTCTCTGTAGATATACTTTGCATATTTGTCTTTTAAAGTCATATTATAGGGGCACCTGGGTGATTCAGTCATTAAGCGTGGGCCTTCGGCTCAAGTCATGATCCCAGGGTCCTGGGATCAAGGCCCTCATCAGGCTCCCTGCTCAGCTCTCTGTCTGCTACTCCCCCTGCTTGTGCTCGCTCTCTCTCTCTCTCTCTGTCAAATAAATAAATAAAACCTTTTAAAAAATAAAAGAAAATAAAGTCATATTATAAATTCCTAGAATAGAAATTGCTA